TTTTTTTTTTTTTTTTAATTTTTATATGGGATCCATACTAGTGTTAGGGAAAGACTGCAGAAATTATATCCGTTAATATTCTCACATATTTTCGATATATGTTCTTTTAAGCCTGCTCACGATATTTCTGAGAGGAATTTTCAAAACTAAACTTTCCTTTCTTCACTTAATTTTTGACAAAACGCAATCTTTAAATCACAGTTTATGCCGTAGACCAGAATTAAAGTTAAATAACTTTGAACAGTTTAAAATTTTCAGCTTCAAATTGCAGATTTTATACGGGGTTTTTATTTGTTGGGTTTTTTGTTTTTTTGTGGGTTTTTTAAACACATTCTGGTAGAGCTCGCCAGTTAGTGGAAAAAAGAAATCGTCAGGGAACTTCATTAGTAACAAGTAACTTTGGGGGAATACAAAACCCGACAAGACATTTGGCCCCTCTGGACTGCCTTTGAGTGACCCAAACCCCCAAAAGCTTTTCTGAAAAAACGGCATGATTGAGGTGATTAGAAAGCCTGGGATTCTTTTGCACATTTTTGCAACTGAGAGAAAAGAAAACCAAACCAAACCAAACCCTGACTGAATTATTCCTCCCCCCCTCCTCATTTCCCTGTGTCTTTACCACCCAGCCTCGCAAAAAATCGCTGCACGAAGGAGCTTTCAGCCACAAAACAAAATTTTAGGGAAATGAGGAGGGGGGGAGGAATAATTCAGTCAGGGTTTGGTTTGGTTTGGTTTTCTTTTCTCTCAGTTGCAAAAATGTGCAAAAGAATCCCAGGCTTTCTAATCACCTCAATCATGCCGTTTTTTCAGAAAAGCTTTTGGGGGTTTGGGTCACTCAAAGGCAGTCCAGAGGGGCCAAATGTCTTGTCGGGTTTTGTATTCCCCCAAAGTTACTTGTTACTAATGAAGTTCCCTGACGATTTCTTTTTTCCACTAACTGGCGAGCTCTACCAGAATGTGTTTAAAAAACCCACAAAAAACAAAAAACCCAACAAATAAAAACCCCGTATAAAATCTGCAATTTGAAGCTGAAAATTTTAAACTGTTCAAAGTTATTTAACTTTAATTCTGGTCTACGGCATAAACTGTGATTTAAAGATTGCGTTTTGTCAAAAATTAAGTGAAGAAAGGAAAGTTTAGTTTTGAAAATTCCTCTCAGAAATATCGTGAGCAGGCTTAAAAGAACATATATCGAAAATATATGAGAATATTAACGGATATAATTTCTGCAGTCTTTCCCTAACACTAGTATGGATCCCATATAAAAATTAAAAAAAAAAAAAAAATTTTTCTTAGGACTTCTGTACCTTAGGTACGACTATTTTCTGAAATCGTTGTGTACTTTTAACTAACAGGCAAAAAGTACATTTCTCCTTTACTTTTTGACTTTTACCATTTTTTTCTTTTTGCTTTCAAAAAATTGTTTTGATTTCAAGCTGCTCTTTCTATGCATTTTAGAGATACACAGGATTTAACTTCTATCATGCTGTAGCAGAATCAATAGATGATTTATTGATTTTTTTTAAATTTTTTTTTTCAGGTGGTTAAAATATAATTCTTACTTTTAGGAGTTTTTCAGAAGCTCTCTTATTTCTATTCTCCATCCACGTGTTTATTTTCTGATTTGCATTTATTTCAGGAGAATGTTTCCTACGATCAGGGTTTCCTTCTCGGGAGTGGATCCTGAAGCCAAGTACATTGTGTTAATGGATATAGTTCCTGTGGACAATAAAAGATATAGATATGCCTACCACAGGTCTTCCTGGTTAGTGGCTGGAAAAGCTGACCCTCCGCTCCCTGCAAGGTTTGTAGATTTTACTGCTGGTCTTTCTTTTATTTTCTTTATTTTTTTTTTTATTTTTCCCTTCTAGAAATACCTGCTTTCCATGCTGTTTGCAAAGAGTGCTCTGAGACTTTGAGGCTGTGCTCAACAAAGCTGATTGCAAAATTCATTATTTCTGTGATGCAGAATCGGGCCTCAAAGCTCTGCTTGAGGCTTCATTTATACTGAATGTTCCAAGGCATGCAGGATTTGGCTGAAGGGTCTTTCATATATATATATATATATATATTGTTAAATGAAGTTTGCCTTGATTCGGATAAGAAAGTTTTAAAAAAACCCACAAACCTGATTTGTCTCTTGGGTTTGCCCCCACCCTGGCATTTGACCTCATAATTTAAAGCAACCCAGGCACCACCAGCCAAGTCCAAGTAGAAATTCTACATTACAGTTCAGTGCTGTTTATGCTTGAAACGATATTATTTCTTGATAATACACCCAGTGTTTGCTAAATGATAATTTTATTCTTGCTTTTACTCACCTCTTAGACAGCAGACAAAGTATGGATCAGTTCTACAGCAAAGAGATTTACATTTTTTGTTAAGAAACCATGGCATTTTCTGAGATGTTAGGAAAAAAAAAAAATCCCCTCCTTTTCTATACAGAAACAAAATGCTGCAGAAAATGAATTTCTAAAATCATACCATTAATGTAATTAACGACTGTCTGCCTTCAGTATCGGGAAACTGAGGCTGCAGCACCAGGCTGTATGGTAGAATGGCACTTCAGCAGAGACCCACACTTCATCGTATTCAGCCCAGCACTTCAGTACATACTTAAGTCCCCAAGTCCAGTCAGACTGAAGCACATGTCGAACGGCTTTGCTGAGTCAGAGCCGGAGATATGGAAATAACGTGGATTCCTCTCTGGCTTCAAAGAAACTTTTTGTGGAGGGCTCTGTGCAGACACACAGATCCGCTCCAGGTGGCTTAGCCTGGGGTTAAGAACTTGCTTATTACAGAGAAAGAAATTAGAAGTGAAACACAAGAAATGGAAGCATATTTTTTGTGTGTGTGTGAGTATAAGGACCAAATCCTGCACACTTTCCTCATATAAATAGTTCAGCTGAAAGCTTGCTGACTGCTGATCTCTGGAAGGCGGCTCAGGGAAGTAAACAAACAAAAAGCGCATGCAGAGAAGCTGTGATTAAAGACAGCAACCTAGGAGTTATGTCGGCTTTGTTTTCATGGCCAAAAACTCCTTCTTGCAATGTGGTTAACGTCCGAGGGCTTCGTTTGACGTATTGTAATGAGCACTGATCAAAACTCAAAGAAAAAAAACAGGGATCCTGCTCCAAAGGAGTCAGCATCAAAAGAAGAAATAAGGGAAGGACAGAAACAGTTTTAAGGCAGGGTTCTCCCCTTCTTATTTTCCCATTTAAGTACTTTCTGTGAGACCTTTAAATTGATTGCTACTTCACACTCTGTCTGGCATAGACTACTTCAGTGAGGAAATAAAAGAATATAAGACAAAGAGTTTGATCATTGGAATAATTAGCAACTGCCCTACTGAGTAGTTTAGAGCTGGGATCAAGCCACCTTGGAGTTTAATATTTATTATCATCGTACTGTGGTAGCTCTTTAAGGTGCCCACTGGATCAGTGCCTCTGTGTGTAAATGTGTATCTTTCCTGTTTCATTTTCAGGATGCTTAGCCAGAACACAACGTTTTTTTGGATCACAACACAGGCACAGATTACTTTTTCTTTGTATGAATGGCACTTAGATATACAATTATGCACTTTCTCCTTCGTATGCTCTTGTTTGGCGAGAAAAAAGATGTCAAGAGGTTCAGTGTGCCAGTGTTTGCATTACTAGTGCTTTTTCTGGAGTGTTAATGCACCTTTTGAGGTAGGAGGCTTCAATCTTGCTCAAATTAAAAGTAGTACTCCTCCCATCTTGAAATGGGTTTGGTCCTGCTCCAGTAACTGGAGCCCTTAATGAAGTTTTGATTTCTTCTTCTCCAAATACACGTTCTTAGCTCTCCTTACTTGAGGAGTGTCAGCACGGGGTGTATGTGTGCTTAGCGTCTGGGTGCTGGTACCAAGGTGTTAACTCCCCATCCACGTCACTGCCTGCATCTGCAGGGGCACATCGGCAGCAGGGGAATTATTCAGGAGTCACGTTGTGCATAGGTGTGAGACTTTGCAGGATCGAACCCGTTAGGAGTCTTGCTCTTTCCATTATAAAAATAACTTTCAACACTGAGACAGCTATTTTATTTTTTTCCAGATTAATAAGTATTCTGTGATTCTGTTTGAAAGATTAGCCCTTCAGGGAACTTTCTATTAAAACTGGTTTTATCCCTGTCTTCCTGCTGTCAACATTTAAGACAAGTTTATGTTGCAATGAACACTTAAATAAAAATACTTTTCAGAGAGTCTTTTGTAAATCTTCTAAAGTGCTATCTGGGGATAGAATACCTATGTGATATTTTATGTTTGTTCTTCCAAATTGCTAAGACTGTGTGAAACATCAGTTTAATAAGTTTCAGCATGTACCTTTATTTGCTCTTCTTCCTTTTTCACCTCCTTTCTTTCACTCAGAAATATTTTTTTACTTTTTTTTTTTTTTTTAACTGTATTTGGCTACAATAATTTGTTTAATGAAGTTATAGTGTTTACACGCTCACAGAGGACCCTAGGTAGGAAACCTTTAAAAGATTTGCAAATTATTTGAGACATTAAGGTAATTAAAAGCCGCATACACAGGGCTTGCAGGACCAGACCAACTGTTAAACTAAACAGAAGGAGAGTGCAGTCACATTCCAAAATATGCAAGAAGGAAGCCGTACCCAAGCCTTGCATATATCATGAAACTATATACCGTGGAGCAAACTCATATCCAAATATGGCTTCTAAAGCCTTTGTGAATTGAAGTGAGCAGCCCCTCGCATCTGGCTGGCCTTAGGCAGCAGAGCCCGCGTGAACTTCTGGGGGAGCCTCGTGTGCTGTGCCAGAATGTTCACGTTTATTTCTCTAACCTGTTTGCTCGTGCACGCTCACAGTCCTGTCGATGACTTCTAGTTCAGTGGGCAATACATCTAGGTTTCACCCCTCCAAGGTGTACAAGCTCAGGCCATAGGAGAAGTTGCAGATAGGTGTAGTTCACCAGGTGGAACCAGATGTTGCAGTGGGATCAATGGCATCTAGCAAATCAGTAAAGAGAAGGAAGGTCTATTAATACATTTACGTAACCGATGTTCAGGTGCCCATCCTTCAGTGATTTTCCTGTTAGCACTCTGCTAACATCCAGGCATGTCGTAGTTTGAAGGCAGTGCCAAGCATTAACTGCCTATTGTGTAAAACAGTTGTGCTCAGTTTTTGGACACATCAAGATCTTTACTCATTCCCCAGCACATATTTGAAATAGTTTGCCTTTTTGGTCCCAATTAGCTAAACCTTGCTGAGCCTGACACTCTGTGATCACATTAAACATTATTAGCTATCCAGATATTCAAAATTAGAAGTCAGGCTCCAAAAAAAATATCACAAGACTGGCTGAAAAGTTGCAGGTCATGTTTGGGACTCTTTCTGTTTTGCTTTCTCTAATTCAGTGCTCTAAAGGTTGAGATTTTTGTTTTTTACAGGAAGGCAAAGTTAATTTTCATGAGAGGTAAAATTATTTTGACATAACAGGATTCCAGGTCTTAGTTTTCCAGATACTTCATAATTTTTCATGAGCCTTGCAGTGCAATCAGCAGAGTCGATAGCTATGACGACGCCTGTATGATAGGAATATTTTATTGTGACAGGAACCTTGGCTCAGCATTCCTCCTGTGGACATAGCTATGCCAGCCAAGCTGTGCTTCGGATCAGTGTAAGGAAAACATCCTGCACATCTGAAGTGAGCTGTGCTGCTAAAACTTTAGTTTCACTGTGTCTTGGGGATTCTGCTGGCAAAAGTGGAGAGTGCAGGATCAAGTCTCCTTCCTCTTTGAGTAACAGAGCTGTGCTCCCTGGAGTCTTTACTACGGGCATTCCTTGATAAGGGATCAGTGTAGTCTATCAGAAAGTTACGCCCCATCGTTTGGTGGTTTTTCCATTCTTGCCTAACCAAAATCGTAGCTCAACAGCAACAAAAATGTTTATCTTTCTAACCCGTCATCTCAGCACTGCCCCACCCACCTAATGGAAGAAATCCATCCATGTGGTCAAAGACATCACCCAAAATGAGAGTCAGGCCCTCAGTGAGTGATAACCAACACTGACAGAAGCAGAACACTAGCTGAATGTCTAGTTCAGCTCTTCATTCACTATTACAAAAGAACCTTTGAGTTAATTTTCAGCAATATATTATTCCTATAAAATAATTTGGTTTAGATAGCCTGGCACTTGTGATTAGTCTAGTCATAATGTATATATCATTGTATCTACATGTCTTCTGTGCTTCCTTTTCTTCTGCTTAATTTCCCAAGTGGTGGATTGTTAATTACAGAGATGCAATTAATTTTTCATGTCAAACCACTGTGCTGGACTGCAGCCTTCAACCTCTTATAAACAGACGTCACCACAGCTAATGTGTGATCGAGTGCAGGTTAAAATCATTATCACGACTTAATGTTACATATGAAGAAAAATGCATTTTTATCTACATTCCCCCATTATCTCTCTAATGACAACATGTTTTTTCTCTCGTAGCTGTAGTCATTGTTATTTTAAGTGCTTGTTAGTACAGCTGTGGGGAAAGACATGATCAATTTTTCATTTGGGAAAAGACACAACAGTGAATGTTAGTTAATGTCTCCATTTTAGATAACTAGATAGAATGATAAAATTAGATAAAATAATAGGTATGGTTAGAGAACACTCTAGCACGTGGACATGGGATTCTTCATTACATTCCAGTGAACTAAACAACTCATCTGCTTTACTGTCTGTCATTAATGGTCGTATTTCAGTCATTCATTAAGTTGGGGGAGATTGTATTTTGTTTGAGTAGCTGATCTGTATAACCCTGAGCTTTCAGGAAATCCATGTCCATGAAACCACTGCATATTCCAGAATGAAGATATTACAGGCTTTTTAAATTTTCATACTGGAGTGGTGCCCACGTGCAAGCCAAGAGGTGAGATATTTTATGAGCAGGCCTTTTCCCTGTGTTTTCCAGGTTGTATGTGCACCCTGACTCCCCGTTCACAGGAGAGCAACTGCTGAAGCAGATGGTGTCCTTCGAAAAAGTCAAACTCACCAACAATGAGCTGGATCAGCATGGCCATGTGAGTAGCCCTCCTGGTGGGAAAGGGTAAAGGAATCGCCATAAGGGGACTGCTCGCTTGAGCCACAGGGCTAAACTTGTGGGAGAGAGACAGTGATGGTGAAAGATTGCTGGGGCTCCCTGTGGACCTCTTTTGGCTGGCCCTTTGTACCACAGTAGAGAAAGATGCTGCATGAAGCTTAAACATGTCGGGTTTTAATCTCTGTTGTTGAGGAACAGGTGACTTCAGAAAAGAGGTTTTTACCTTCCATAAAGTAGAGCCCAGGTCAACACAAGCATTCAAATCATGTTGCTACTGCTGTTAGAGGCAGAACATCCACTGGGGATAAGTTCAGAGTGGAGTCAAGCATCAAAGTATGGGAGAAAAGGGAGGCAGGTGAGCTTTTTATCATGCTTCTGCGTGCATTTTGCTGTGACATGGCAGTATGCTCTGACACGTGCACTGGTTAGCAAGTTCACATGCTTTTTCCATGTGTGCTTGGAAGCTCCTTCTCGTTACAGGCAAACTTTTGGGGTTGGGTCCATCAGTAAGGGCTCTCTTACTTCAAGACTCAACATAGCATGGGCACAGAGTCAGCAGATAATAGTGGTGTGACACCAGAACAAGGGCTGTTGAATCATAAAAATAAGTGTGCCTCAGTTGCCCTTGAAATAACCGTAGGCTACCTGCAAGTCAAGGTGCCACAGAGTGGGCTTGGGCTTCTAAAGGAAACAGGTCCCTGCTCTGATCAGTACCAATCTGTTGTCACAAGCCCTGAGGCTGGAATCTGATAAATAGGATGCAGAGCTGCTGACCCCGGGCTCCATGGGTGGTAAGAAAAAGTGTTGTCTGTTCTGTCCCGTCTCCGAAAGTGCCTGCAAAGTACGGGAATGGCTCGGTAGCACCTCCAAGTTGCAAAGGAAGAGCTAAAAGTGTTGCCTCTGGGCTTGGTGGCTTCCCAGGAGAAGGCTGAAGGAGCAGGGGGATGGATTTGAAAGGGTTGCTGGCTGAGAACGGGGCAGTTAAGAACAAGCTTAAAGGCAGTGTTAGTAAAAGAGCTGTCAGGAAGAATTGAGTGATTTTGAACTCTGAAGCATGTGTAGGGGTAACTAGCCTGTAAACCTGAATAATTGTGGCATATACGGTATCAGAAATCCTTCCCCTAGTGTGGTATTTATTGTGTTGTCGGACTGTGTGAGACAGTGGCCGTTTGTCTGAGCTGTCTCCTGTGTAAATACTTCTCATCTGAAAGAGTATTTTTGCTCATTTCAAGACCTAAGAATTAAACCGCAGTCATGATCATTTAAAATACATGCTGGAAACAACAATAACAAAAGTAGTTAAAAAAACTCGAACCAAACCAAACCAAAAGAAAGCCCAGATAGATGCCTCTGTGTTGTTCTTTTGTAAAGATCCATCTGTGGGTATATTTTTCTTGAATACGGTTTTTCCACTGTTGTTCCTTTCCTGACTAGTGGAGAATGTCTTTCTTTTTTTTTTTTTTTTTTTTTTTTTTTTTTTTTTTTTTATTTCATAATCTGTAGAAGGGCAAAGCTGAAGATTTGTGGGCTCTATCACTGAGTGATGATAGAGCAGTATACGTGCGCATTTAAAAAGAAGCATTTTTCATCATAACAGGGGCCATGTGTGCCTCTAATAAAGGGCTCGCAGCAGTATATTGCAAACTAGTTAGGAGCGGTGCAGTTCCCAGAAGCCCAGACGAGTATAAAAAAGTAGGTCTGAGAAGCTGTCGGGAACAGAGACATGTGACAGAGCAAGAAGATGTAATCATCTCAGATACAAGCAGTGGGAGAAAATGATCTGTAGTGTTTGAGGTGTGGCCTCCCAATCAACTTCCAAAGAAGCAGCAGAGGTGGATCCTATTCTTTACACGAAGGCTTTGGACAGCTGAAGTCAATGGGAAGTTTCGCATGTTCAGTTAGGAATAAACCCCAAAGGCTTGATCCCACATTGAGATTTGCATGACAGGTGTGGCACCTCTGCGGAGCACTCCCTTTTTGATATCTTGTGGGGTTTTATGTTCCGAATTAACTTTTATGTGCTGCCTTATTGAAACTATGTAAATACCATTATTGAATGCTCAGTAGAATTAAAGAAGAAATTCATTCTCGGGAGCATTTAAGGAAGGCTAACTGTGCTGAGGGCAATGGCATTTCTGAGCTCCTATGTACTGAGAGAAGGGGAGAACTGCAGTGCCCCAAGGAGCCCTTCTTCACTCACAAGATCTTAACTGGCCTGCTAAAAATCTTAATGATGTTTGATAAGGCATGTGGCTCCTGAGGAAGTTTTAATGACCTAAAAGACAGCTTTAAATACCAGTTATAGGTAGAGCAGCTGGATCCAACCTGATTCCAGCTTGTTCTAGTTACTTGCTTTCTCCATCCTCCCGAAGACAGGTTTGGTTGTTAAGGTAATTGCAGTGTGTTTATTTGTAGGGTGGTTCATTTCCTGAAAAGGAATCTGAAGAGAAGAGAGGCTTTTGTTTGTTCTAGCATTTGTTTGTTTTCTCTTATTCTGAGACTTTTGGAGTTGGCAAGCATCTCTTCAGCAGCATGCATAACCCCATAGCTGTGTATGTATTCTCCCCAAGCATCAGGGCAGAAGTCTTATCTCTGTGTGCATGACGTACAGCTTGCTCCATGGAAACACTTTCAGATATCCTTACCAGAGGAAGGAAATGGCTTCTGTCTCTGGATTTTTACAGATGAGTGAATATTTCCCATTTTCCTGGTTGTGGAACTTTTATGAATGTGATTTTTTTTTTCCAGATTTCTGGTGATGTTTTTCACACAGACTGCTTCTTTTAGAACTTTTGGTGGCAATTAGCCGGCATGGCATCGTTTATGGTGAGGTGAATCATGAGTTTATACATTATTGTAATTGCTTCTCTGGCCTTTATGATAAGCAAAAGTCAAACACATGAACGTTTGCAAAAGTAAACACAAAGGTGTGAACATGGCCAACAAGTAACTGTGAAAGCAGACGTTTCAGAATAGCCACAAGGAGTTATGCCTAGGGTTTTTTTTTTAAAAGCCAACCTGGCAGAAGTTAGGAACCTCCGTGTTTTGAGAGAGCAGACTTTGCCTGGTAACGCTCTTCGGTGAATATGGAAGCTGCATTCACAGCATAGTTCCTGAATTAAAAGCCACTTCAGGGATTTTGCAGCTGGCATCCAGATTGCCTCTGACCAGTCTGTAGCCAGTGGGAGCCAGATGCCTACAAACCTGCCTGACCTTACAGCAAACATGATCCTGTAAGGATGGATCCTGGTCATCTTCCCTGCTGCAGGCTGTCAGCACGAAGGCAGATGGGATGGCTGGGGGCCTGTGACCACACTGTACTGACAGTAAGCATGTGCTGGGGGGCTGCTGTAAGTATATGTGCACCTGGTGTTTCTCTACAGACACACCAGCCAGAGTATCACAGAGCTCATCAGGGATTTTCTGATAGCTACACCATGCAGGTTGGGGGCTGCTTGGACTTTGAGACCACCCTTGGGGGCTACTCTGTAAGATGCACCCTGTGTATCTAACTCTTCTAGGCTGTTTTGATGGTCCTGACATAAGCAGATGCACAGATATACTTTGTGCAATATCCTGCTGACTTTAATATCAGTGAATACTGCAACACTGGCGGCCTATGTGGGGATGCAGATGGAGTGCTAGATACACAGACCCTCACGAAAAGGAAATAGTAACCTTAACCTTGGCCATGGGTCTTCTGTGACCTCCTGGCTACATTCGCTACTTGCTTTATACCTGAAAGACCCAAGCTGCCTCTGGTGGGAACATGCAGGGTGGAGCACCATGGCAGGAGATGTTATCCACGTGTGCTTTTGGTTTCAGAAAACTTTCGTAAATGTTTACGTGGTCTTGTTTGGGAAATGGAGTTTCTTCATCACAATTTGCATTCACAGAGGAGTGAAAGGAAGGGGCATGTGTGGGAGCTGCTCTGTCACAGCTTTTTCCTCCTTCCGCTCGGCTGCTGCTCAGATGTAATGCCTTGGTGTGGATACAGCAGCCATGAAAGGCAACGGGAAGTGTCGAGCTCTGTGAGCTAAGCTCTCAGTAAGCTCACAACCATCCACACACTGTCCTTTAAAATGTCTTTTCCAGCTGCTTAGAGCAGTCCAAGTGACTAGGCTAGTAAGACAAAATTTCACAAAGAGAGGGAAAAATGCTGAGGATCTTAATGGCCGTTGTGTGTGTCCATATATAAAATGGTGAAGTGACTTGAGAAAGGACCTGAGTTGGTAAAAGCAGACATGCAACACTTTCAGGACAATGGTTCCCCATCACTGTAATGACCTTCTTCTCACTGTGCACCCCCCACAAAGTCACAGTGCGAGTCTTCGCAATATTTGCCCCCAAGGAGAAGCAAAGAAAACGCTGATGGAGATTTTAGGCATGACAAAGGTGTCTCTAAGCTCTCCGCTCCAATGCAACGTGCAACCTTTCTCACTGACTGAGTTAGCATGAAATACTGCACCATTTCTACTGTGTTTCAGCCGAAGTTAACGCTTCCTGAGGAATGCACATTAGCTATTCCAGATGTACAGAGCTGACTGTAATGTCGTTATGGCCCCTGCAAAATAGAACCACCCACACCATTGCCAATTTTGACTTGTGACTGTGATTATATCCAAAACAAGGACTGGTGCGAGCCGAGCTCTGTATTTAATTCTTATATTGTAATACTGTGGTTAGAGGCAGCCAAACAGGCCTCCAGCCAGTGGTAACTGAAGCAAGTGGGACTCTCAGTTTGACGCCAGTGAATGTTGAAATTGGTTAGTTGCTACGTTAGGTTTAGAATTGTTTTGGGAGCTCGTAAACAAATATTAATGAGGATAAAATGGCAAAACCTGGTCATTTTGGGGTTCCGGTCTGGTTTCCCTTCTCATTTTTGGTAGTCTGCGGTGAAGAGCATCTATGAAGTATTTTGCTTTAAAGGTTTTGCCATAGTAAAAGGATCTGGGGAGTTTTATTTTTGGTCAGCTGGTTTGTGCTGCTGGCTGTGGTGGTTTTTTTGGTTGGGTTTTAATTTGTCTGGGTTTTTTGAGGGATTCTTGGCTGTTTTCATTCTGCACCTGCAGTTTTGCAAATGTGGATTCTCTGTCATGAGCTTTCAAGAGTTAGATGTTTACACTTGCAGCTGACACCTGCAAACTGTGGCACACACTAGCAGTAATGAATTCTGTATGTAAAACACCTCACCTGTAGGAACAGGTATCTATGCTTCAAAAAAACGTGTGCTCACCAGCGGCGTAGGAGTGAGAAGAAACCAGCTCCTAGAATGCCTGATTTTCCACCTTCATTTCCTGGAACTGCCCAGAGGAGTTGAAGAGTTTGCTCCGAAAATCAGCCCCTGGCTAGTTAGATTTCAGATGTCTCCCTTACAGTGTTAATTAGATCTTTTTTCCCCCTATGGTTTTACAGCCTTTGAGGTTCCTGTTAACCTGCCTCTCAGGATGGTGCCTTGTTGCTCTTTCTTGCAGATCATTTTGAACTCCATGCACAAGTACCAGCCAAGAGTCCACATTATTAAGAAGAAGGATCATACAGCTTCTTTGCTAAATCTGAAATCGGAAGAGTTCAGGACATTTATCTTTCCAGAGACAGTTTTTACTGCTGTTACTGCCTACCAGAATCAACTGGTGAGTACAGTTGCTAATTTCTCTGGATTTAACTAAATCCCACCCTGCTGAAAACACCCTTTCCCCCCATCTAAACTATGAAACTTTCCGATATAACCTACCCTTCCATGCCAATGTCTCTAGTGACTGTGACCAATCTAATTCGTATTCAGGAGTAATTCTTATGTATACGGGTAGTACTACTAACTTTAAAGAGCCACAAGGATTATTCATGGGAGTAAAGATGATGAAAGAGGCTTTCATTTGTCTTCCCTTCTGTCTATATAAAGCTGTTTGCATATTATAATTTAGTCCTTTTCTAATTATAGCTCATTAAGGAACTCTTCTTATTTGCAGTGATCTTTCAAGCCACGAGCTATTAGCTGAGAGATACTCTGGTTTGCACATGATGATTTCATGGGTTTAAAAAGTTGACTAATTAAGCTGTAAGGCTCAAACATAAGGGAAATCATTCAGAGATATGCTTTTCAGAGGCTGCCCAGATTACATCCAGATGTTTGAATTTCAATTTGCATGCCAGTGAATAATATATACAAAATGGAGGAGATCATAACAATGGATTGCTAATGAGTAATTTTAGGAAGTAGATAAACAGTCAGGGAGCAGAGGCTCTGCTTGACAGTGGATAGGGCTTTAATATTTAAGTCAGTGGAAATATGTTGTTGGCTTCAGTGCAATTCGGAGTGTGCTTTAAGGGTTTAATGACTATGGCACTTCAGAAAAATACCCCTTTCCCTCTCTAATTCCCCCAAGTTAAGAAAAATATAAGTACTGTCCAAACATGTGGGCAGGCAGCATCACCGAGTCAATGTACCTGATGGATTATTTAAAGAAGTCTGCATTTCTTAATATGAAGCAAAAGTAATTAGTTTCTAAATGCTATGAATAAAATTAAACTACGGTTTAGGGGTCAAAGAAGCTCTGAAGATAATAGTAGCAATATTAAGCCGGTCCTTATGACAGACCCTGCATCCCTCTTTAAGGCTTTAATATCAGAAGGTATTGATTTTAAACTCAGGTTTGTATCTGAATGCTGCAGAAAATGCATTTAGCACCTGGCAATCTCAGGAATAATGTTTGGACAGGGAGTTAGATTTTTCCATGTAACTTTCTGTAGAAACCAGCACAATAGTAACAGGCACAAAACCAGCTAAACCTGGAATTTATTTTGGTAGGATGGATTTGTGTTTGCCAATGATATTTACACCAGAGATGTTTCTAAACTAACCTTCTCAAAGCACATACATTGAGTCCTGGAAAATTTCTCAATGGAACATCTCCGGAACCCCTAGAGGTTGATGCTGTCATTTTATTTATGACTAATGAAAATGGAGCCTTTTTTCATTTTTGCCATTTCTTTCAGAACTGTTTTAAGGAGGGATTGATTACATTTCTGGAGGTTATTAGATAAAAGCTAAATACATTACACTTTCAACAAACTATCTCATAATTTAAGATTTAAAGGGCATGCATTTATTTAAACAGCCAAACCACTGCCACAGAGTTGAATTGTAGGTCAGATTTCATTTTAAAATGCTTTCTAGCAGATGTTCTCTGATTGTTTGTGAGACAGTCTCTCAGGAAAAATATGGTCATAAATGATTGTGAGTCTCATCTGGCTTTGGTGGATACAAAAAGTTTCTCTTGTGATGTCATACCAAATCTTTAATATTAGGAAAATGGAAGTTTGATTGGTGAAAATACGCTCAAGAGATGAATAGACCTCCTTATTATTCTGCAGTGCAGTTGGCTCGGTGTGTTGATGATCTAAGTCAATGGAACTAGTTAAAGCTTGTCTTTTTTCAAGGTAGTTCTCAGAATGCTGCCATAAAAATGTTCGCTGTATGTGAGGCACTAACCCCTCACTCCTTGCGACATCACCATGAGTCAAGGGCTTATGGGTATCTTGGGAGTAGAACAAGACTAAAACTACCTTGCTGTGCTGTTGCAAGTTTCTGTGACAAGACTAGGGTTCAGGGATTTTCTCCATCAGTCATACCTGCATGATGAGACAGCCTCAAACCCACAGCCAGCACTGAGGTCCCATGTTGTGTGACCAGCCCATAGGAACAACTGGTGAGCTACAGCACCTCCTACATAGTGCCTAAAAGCAAGGACCTTCCCCAGAGAGCTTGTCCCTGGATGGACCCGAAATGCTGGGCAGGGAAGGCAGCAGCCCAGGGGTGTCAGAGCAGGTGGATGGCAGCTGCTCAGTGCATCTTTCATATGCTGCAGACCAGTAATTCAATACTCAGGTTTTGTGTTTGTAAGCCTGTCCTTCTCTCTTTGTGTTTCTCTCTCAGAAGACTTCTTTCTCAGAATGAAAAGTTGGGTTCAGTTGCCTCCTCTTTTTTTTTTTTTTTTTTTTTTTTTTTTTTGATCCTTTTTCTTTCCAAGTCTCGAGGACCAGCTAGTAAAAATGAGGTTGTGTCCTCTTCAATACAGGGTTTTTTTTTCAGGAAAACCAGGCTGACATAGCTTCTCAGTCTGCTGAGAGCTGTTGATTTTCATGGGCTTCAGCTAGACTTGGTGGCATTCACTGCCTTACAGGACAGGTCCTGTGTTGTCCCTCATCAAGCTCTAACTCCCACTTACAATTTTATTTTTAATTATTGGAAGAAGTGTGGCTGGAAGCTCTGAATATTGTGATGGTGTCTCAGGTTTTATTCACTAAATCTCATTTGTTTGGACAGCTAGAAAATTTCACAAGGGCAATAGAGGATTTTTTTTCCTGCTCCCAGAAAAACACAGCACCTGAACCTATGCTACCGACGCCTGAAAAGTTTCACTGCAAAGTTAAAGGGAGCCCTGATGGTTTGGGGCAGAGGGACTCTGATCAGTGTGTTACTCTGGCAGAATGGAAAGGCTGACAGGATGCACTGTGCAGATTTGTAGCGACATTTGAAGAAAGGAGGAGAGTCTTTTTGTTGTAAGACCCCTAGTTTTCCAGGACTGTGATAGTTTTAATGGGGTTACTCCTTTGACCCAGGCTCTGTCACCTTAAATCTGAGTTCGCCCCACACTTTTCCACGCTCCTTCCCTTCCTCAGCCTCTTTCCATGCAAAAACAATTAAACTGCCCCTATGTGATGTGGCAGGTCTGGCTGAGAACATTAAAAAACCCCAAACACGTAGTGCTGAACTAAAGCAACCTCTTTAAGTCTGCAAGCAGTGGCAGACTTGCACGTTTGGAGTCATTAGTTGATGTGCAGCTCCACCAACAAGGCTCAGATGTTAGCAGGGTGCTGTGCATTGCTCGTGGAAAAGACAACCTGATTTGTGCTGTTAAAGTATTTGGAAGCAGTAACACTATATGTGGGTGGTTTCCTCCTGCTCTGGGTAACATGAAGGCTGAGCCCACTGTGCCCTTCATTCTTTCCATTACCGCATGTATAATACACCTTGGTTTGCTTCCCCAGCTTTGCAGCATCTCAAGAGTAGTACAAATGCACACACACAGGGAGCATGGATAAAATTAGCAGTGAAGTCAGGAGGATGGATTGATTAACACTTTGTACACTGCAATACCTTAACACTATATTCATGTTGCATTGCTCTTTTCTGTGTTTGCAGATAACCAAGTTGAAAATTGACAGCAACCCTTTTGCTAAAGGATTCCGGGACTCTTCCAGACTCACTGATATCGAGAGGTAATGGGGACTTTCTGTTTACTTTCCATGCAGATAAGATAAAGAAAAGAGAGAGTTTGTAGGAAAAGCATCCTTTCAACTCCTGAGAAGCTGTGCATTTTAACGTTATCTTGTTGCATATAGTAAGCCTCCTCCACCTCCTTTAAAAATACTTATAAACTTTATGAAGAAAGAGCTGGTTTGAGTTTTGACATCTGTTCCAATTGGGACCAATATATTCATCTTCCTCAGGGGGCTTCTTGAAGGGGGGAGAGGGTCAGTTTTACAACTTCAGAATGAAAAGCTTTTTTTCTTATCATGCCATTTAATCCTATTGAGGGCTGTGAATTGGGTCAATGGGAAACAAGGGCAGTGGTCCTGTGAAAAACATCTTTATAGCTCCCCACTGTTCCACACAGTGGAAAAGAGAGAGGGGAGCTTCCCAAAATACACTTCAGCAGTCCCAGACACTGAAGTCAACAATTATTGCCATCAGGACGAATCCCATAACTCCCACTCTGATGACAAAAATGCCATTTTTGTTTCACCAAAATTGTACTGTAGGCTGCATCAGGGGAAAGCTTTATCTGGAAACTGTTGAGTTTTGTGTGTGTGCCGCTCAGTATAAGCAACTGCTGCCATAGGGACAGAAGCATTAACCCACAGTTGAGTAGGAAATAATCTTCAATCTCTTGGTAGCTCTCCAGAGCATCACATTTTTATGATATCGTGTCAAATAGTTTGGCAAATGAAGCAAATTAAGCTGCCTGTGTCCTTTAGGCTGGAGGAGAACTCCATGGAGATGGATATAGCACGTCCAAATTTTCCTATGAGCACATAATCATGAAAGAAATTTTGGAGAGGCCAAAACCCTTCAGGTTCCTATGTGGGAATACCCAGATGTATCTGTAAATCATCTTTCACGGGTGCATATAGGGGACAAACTGCTCAGTGAAGCCACATCCATACAGCTAGGGAAAGTCTTTACAGCATTTCAAAAGTACATCAGTCTAATCAGGTCCATAGATGGGAAGTAGTGGTATATTTTATCCCTTATTAGTGACTAGATCATTAGTGATTCGTTGAGTAACTAGGTAAAAGAACAGTAATTTGGGGAAAGCAAGGTTCTAGACTGCAGTGCATACTTGCAAAGTTGTTAAAAGTTGTTTCCTAAGTGAAAGTCTTTGTTGAAAATGAAAAAAAAAAAAAAACAAAACAGATTTCATTAAAATGAAATGCCTGCTGTCTTGACAGAGGACTAAGGTAAACAACGTCCAAAGCTCAGGTTTGCATGCAATAAATAGCCAAGAAAGGACATGTAGGAAGAGAAGAGACTTTGATTTTTGCATTTCAGTTTCCTTGTTTTACAGACAGGCGACATCTAATGACAGATTTGCAAGGGCTGAGAGCGTCTGAATAGATAAGCTAGGAGAAAAACTTAGTTACCTCTGTGCAGATGAACTGACTATCATGGTGCTGGATATGAAGGGAATTTTTCCAGAGGACATCTTATTATAACAGCACATGGCATGGAGTCAGAAATGCTGAGCATAAACCGCAGTGCCCTTTTGTTTATTGATAAGTGTAAGAATAGAGCCTGAGACAGACAGCCTAGACCAGGAATGAACATTACCATGAAAGATAAGGTAGCCAAATGTGAAACCTACAATAAATACATGAAACAGAATGTGAGAAGTATTGAAATGACATTAAAACTTTGGATTTGAGAGTCCAAGTTTGGTTAAGATCTTATTTTGACTTCAACTGGAAAGCTTAGCCCTGGTTAGAGAACAACAGTATTTAAAAAAACAACCTGCTGCACAACACATCAAGGAATGAGATAGTAAAAACGTAACACGCAAGAGGGCTGGTAAGAGACAGTTTTAGAATTTTCTAAGTTATCTGATATGGCCCAGAAATACCAAGGATTTTATTCAGTTCCAGCATTAAAATATTCAGGTAGATGAGAATGTCATTCTCTAAGTGCCCACTGATTCTATATATTTCATCTCAGCTCCGGCAAAATTGCTTAAAGAAATCTGATATAAAGCAAAAGAAATAGAAAAGTGAGATATGACAACAGGAAGATTTTGCTGCTTGGTGTCCATCAGGACATGCATTATAAGATGTAGGTGATACACCGAGTAGTACAGCATGACTCTTGCTCAGTCTAGTTGGAAACGCAGCTAGTTCTAGAAGATGGGTGTCTGAGAAAAACATTTGCCAGGGAAAAGACTATGCAGGCCAAACGCACATTTGCACATCTCTTGGAAACTGAATGGTTGTCTAGAAGCTGTGAAAGATACCTTCCAAGCACTGCTTCCTCAGCAGGCCTGCACACAGCGCGTGCATGCATAATCTGCGGCGCTGTGCCGTGATCCTAATGGTCTCCTGTAAAGCATCCTGTGATGTTAGGGCCAAGAGAGCACTCATTTATTGTGAGTTCCAGCTTTTCCGAATGACCTAAGTAGTGTGAAAGTGTACAGAGCTTTGTATTTCATTTCCAGGTATTTAAGCCTGCTTTTTCCTAAACAGCCTTTGGGGAGGGAAACAAATCAGATCAATTGATCTTTAGAGACCTAAAGAAATTAAATTAGTCTGGAGTCAGTTACTGCACTAAACCATCCAGTAATTGGATTGCTCCTTGTAACTGATTGAAAACAGCCTCTATCTGTAACAATATAGGGAGCTTTTCTTTATAGTAGATCTGAGAGAAAAACACATCTTTTTATGACATGATGACAGAAATTGCACTTTTTTAACCTAATTGAATATGATTTTATATATATGTGACTTTAATGATTTCAGGCTTCCCACTCTAGATTTACGATCCTTATGCAGGAAATTCAAGCTGCAAATGCCTTTAGGATTAAATCTGTTTGCATTATATGTGTTGGAGTTAAAATAATATATGTAAAGGTAGTGAAATTTGCCGTATGGTAGAGGAGGTAGGCAACAGCAAAGCTATTGAAGTGCCTGTATTTTCTTTTGTTCCTGTCTAAATACCTTACAATGGTTTCCTTGTACTCATAGCTACATATATGCAAAGCTTTTAACTACTGAAAAAAATCTCTGTTGAATTTGGTGTATATTGAATTTTCAGTAGGATGTGACATTCCTTCCACAATCAACTCTTTCCATACATTACTTCTGGTAATTTATTTATGGCGACAGGGCCGACTTTATCTGGGGCTACTGTGATTAAGATAAGTTGCTGATTCACCTTTTGATCTTTTTACATGGTATTTACATTTCCTCTATTATAAAAAGGCTCCCACAGCCTTTTTGGTTGTGATTGAAAAACTGAACATTTATTTAGCAGCAATTGTCAGAGTGTGGAGCTTAACATACTGTGGTGTTGACTATGGGATACCAAATGCAGTAATGTGGATGAGCGTGATCTTTTTTAATGGTAACCTTTGTGAAGAGGGCCAGTGCAGGTTTTATAATGAGCAATTCACTCTGAAGATAGGCTTTAAGGGAATAAAAAGTGCCAAAGCCATAAAGGATGCAAAATCAGAACCCTGCAGATTTATTTTTTTGTCTTGAGCCTGAAATTATCTTTTCAGTTGTCGTGAAGAATTAGCCTTTTAAAAATAAATAAAACCATTGCAATTAAATATCATGCAAACAATCCAGTGAAAAAGGTGATTATTTCAAGAGTGTGAGTCAACAGAACTACCGAATCGTAAAATAATGATCAAACGAGAAATGACAGATCATAATCATGATCTGAACGTTGCTTGTCTATCTGATTCAGTATGAGATAGGCAAGTTCACATTGTGGACTCGTAACTATTAAAGAGACCTAAGTGAGGAAACCCATCTGCACAAGACTAATAATGCTTCTGGGAGGCAGAGAGACAATATGGAAAAGAGGCAATTCAAGAGGCAAAGTATGGCTGTACGCCCAAGTAAATTTTAGGCAAAGAAAGGAAGGATTGGGGGATGAGAGAAGCAAGAGAGCTGTATCCCGGCATCTCAGCTGGATTTGCATGGTAATCAGATTCTGAATTTTCCCCTGAGAAACTTCAGGTCTGAGATGTGGAAATACGTTGTACCAGCTTACAAGGCCGTAAGTGAAATGGATGCTGATGCTCGGATGTGGGCACTGCTCTGTTGAAGTAGCAGTCAAAGCCATGCTTAATGATGTGCTCTCTGCAGCAGATCTCTCTTTCATCCCTTCCCTACTCATCCCACAGAGTGTCTTCCACCTGATTCCCACTGCTTACTGCTGGTATAGAAGAACTTCCCTTACTCTTGAGAGCCCCCAACAGCCAGAAATATATACTCTCTATGACTTACTCCCATGTCCATGGTTAAGTAGGGCTTTGTCATAATTCTCCAACAAGTCAAACTCCCCAGGTGATCTTTTATCCTCAGCTAGTCCTTAGTCTGCGAATGTCAGCAGCCAGCCATGGGAGGTCATCTCCGATGTTTAGGTGGAAAGAAGTCCTGAATTTAGGAAGGAACACCAGGCACTCTGGGGCCTAAATGCCTGGAATCTGGTGCCAATCCAGATGTACTGAGGTTACTTCAACCTCCAGCTGCTGCTCCACAGAGGGGTAGATGGATTGTTTGTGTTTTCTGCATCATCCCTTCCAGACCGCTGCAGATGGGTATCTTAGGGCATCTAGAAAGCACTACCTGTCTACATTTAGACACCTGAAGCATTCCCTTCAAATCTGGTTCCTCCAACTCTGCGTACTGGTAGACAGGCAACTGTTCCGTTTTCCCAGCAGAAAGCCCTCCATGAAACTTCTTCACTTCCCAGGATTTTAAGCAATCATACCCTGGCTCATTTTTCACTTAGGTATTCTGTTATCTATGTTTTCACTTGTGCAAAACAGTATAAAAAAGTTTTATTTTGCTAGTGTTTTCCACTCACCTGGTGCAGGTCTACTGTGTGCATACGGGGAAGGGATGACGTCAGATCAGACCCATGGTTTCCACCCCAGAAGAAGTTTTCCAGGGTCTTCCCCCAATCCCAGTTTCACAGTACTGCTCTGTCCTCACCTCTG